CCCAGATGGAACAAACCAACTGCGCATGCCCAGCGTTACTTTAGATCTTGCTGCATTGCTAGTAAACCTAGATTTAGTTTTATATTTCATGTTGTACTCGATCACAATTTAAATTAGACTTCAGGAGAAATGGGCTCGAACGGTATCTAATACAAAAATTACCTATAAATGAGGATCACAGTACTTTCTGTCACATGGTACACGTCCCCCATCTACAATCGATGGCAGATCACAATAGTTAAATTTGTCACTGTCAATATTAATGCGTAAAAGATTAAAGTTTAATAGTATTTTTCAATTAGTAATGTAATTCTACTTTGTTTGTTGACAGATGAAGTGTATAATCTCGACCTTGGGAAATATTGTGGCAAAGCATATTAAACATTCACCTATCAATGTGTTTCTCTGACATCTTGATTCATAGTGGACCTTTATACTATAGGCTGAAGATTAAGCGAGGTTGAGGTACTTGCACTGTTTTTTAAAAAAGTGACAGTGACTGTCTAATTGCTCTCACTACTGTACTGTTCAAAGTCCGCGAACATATACTGTTAAATAGTCAGAAATGTTAGGAATATTTTCATGCAGCTGATAATCTTTTTTTTTAATATAGCAAAGATCTTCAAATCAGAGATGTCTTTGTCCAATAGTTCATTTGGTTTGGTTTCGATTAAAAAGTAAGTAACATTCCACAGTTTCATTCTTCTTTGCATTGCAGTGTTGAACAAAGTGTTTCGATTAAATTCTCTAGCTTATGATCTTTTTTTTTTTTTTTTTTTTTTTTTTTTGTCAAATTTCATTTGTTTTGTATATCTCTTCCATCTTTTCTAATGGAATTGCATTTCTTGCCTCCTTACCTTGAGTTAACACTGTCTCAATATATTGTGTTAAATCTCCTCACCATCTTTCCCTTGCTTCTGCTAACTTCTGAGCATTCAAACCAGGTTGATTCAGTGCTCTAGTGTCTTCCATGATGTGATTTTGCTGTACAAAGTCCTTCGAAATTGTGAGATGCATTTTTTTTAATACTTTTCTCTTTCTGGGGGACATTGCATTGTTGAAACTCCGTAATTTCTATTTCTCGTTTAAAGATTGCTGTTTTTATCAATTGCAATGCATGTGATCAGACCCTGATGACGGGAAGTTGCTTCTGTACTTCTCTTCACTGGTTAGATGCGTTATGTGCGTAATCGATTTCTCATTCGCAGATGATCGCCGTTTCATAGGTCGGTTCTTTTATCCAAAGGGAACCTTTTCTTCATTAAATCATGCACACACTTCTGACACCATGTTTCAATATGTTCAATATTTTGATTATGTAACAACACCACGTCCTAGTCTTTATAACATCTACTGGCTTATTTTATAATATTCGCTCATGCGCACTAGCTACTCATACATATTCACGCAATCAAGTCATGGTTCAGTTGCAATAAAACATACTGTTAAGTGTAATAATATTGTAATTATCGGTCAAGGCGGGGGAGTCGTCGCCTGCGCGTGCGTCAGATGGCCATAGCGTGTCATTGTTTACAAACAAGTGTCTACCCATGAGCCTTTCCGTTTCTAGCAAGTGTTGTTATCGTCGCGTGGGACTCAATTCCCAAGCGTGCGCAGGTAACAACCCTCCCGCTTTAAATATATGATAAGAGTTCATTAGGGCACCCTAAATTGAACCCTAACACTCCAACCCCTAATGTATATGCCCCTCCAAATAACTATAGTCCCCGACGAGGAATATATACAATTGAAATGGGGGGGCATTGGAGGGGCAACGTTAAGATTCTAGTTCAGGGTGAGGGGCCATAAGAAACTATTTACTGTTGAAGGTATGCAAAACTGTTGACATCTCATTAATATGACCGCTTATATCTACGTAATACCGGCGCTCGAAATACAAAACGAAGATCCACACAATATATTTGTCGGAAAAGGAGAACAAAAGTCGCAAACGTTATCAGTATCTTTGTTCTAGTAAATCCCGCATCAAAATGCAATACAAAATACATTTAATACCCACAAACAACTATCCAGCCTGAGACGATCCAATAAATAAATTTTGTACCATCTTCACGATTTTTCACTTCATTGAAAAATATAATTTCTAGTACAAAAGTAGCATACCGTCAATGTAGATGTGAATACTATTAATACATGGTTATTTCGTGCTGATGCCGTTTTATCTATGTAATATGTACACGGTGGTAGAGACTAATGCATGCTATGATTAACGCGCTGAGGGCTATGGAATACAACATTTTGTTTAATATTGTCTTAGTTCCAATTTAGCGCCGAATGGGATCGTTCAAAGGCTGTTCGCCATTATACATTACGTGCACGCTAGCTCAACTCACCTGTAAACACTCATGTTCAATCGTCACCTTTGACCTATCACGTACGATAGCCACTACGTGATGCCCTTTCTCTAGAGCCTGGCGTACAAGGGGTACACCAGTTCTGCCCGTTGCTCCTAACACAGCGACCTTCATGGTTGAAATGAATCGCAGTCGCAGTGGCCAATCACCTGCTGATCTTCTGGCCCTCTTTCATGACGTCAATATTCAGGTCAGCAAACGGTTATTGATTCATTGTATTCATGAACCACACTGTCCTTTATTTAAATAAGGCATATACGCAGTGCGCATGAGCAGGGATGCGTTTTACGGGTTATGGTTATGGTGTGGTTTTAAACAGTACGTGAATTAATCTCGCAAAGCATACATGGCCATCTTATGTTCAACAATTTAAATACAGTTGCGATATACACCAATGCTTTCAGACACGGGGAATTTGGTCAACTCACGGCAAAGAACCAATAGAAGGGTATTTCTCCATTCGATGATATCACACATGGAACACATTAAGATGAAGTGGTGGGGCGATGGTCGAGTAAGCAGATCTTGGTTTGCAAATCACGGAATTTCAATAACTGATACTGGTGTGTTCCTATTCTGTATATATGTATATGTACTATAACAAGTCTCATTTCGTTGTAGTAAAAATGTGGTATTTACATAACGTTTTTCATCACCTCCCTGGAATGATTCAACGTTCTCCAAGACCTCGGGTGAAACCAATATCTGTATGTATGTGTAGACGCCGATATGATTCTCAATAACGATTTACACAATTACATGAATAAAAACCGCAACGATATAATAGGTGTCTGATAACTGCAGGTCACATTTCGTTTAACCTCGGTTGCAAGTAGAACGTTTCACGTTTCGGATGCTTTATCACATATGTACATGTTTTGTTACTTTAAAGTTTATGTCTCGGTATCACATTTGTTAAATCCGCAACAACTTGAAACTATTGACACATTTGGGCATACCACTCGATATTGCACAATTCACCTACGCCTACGTATTACATTTGCGGTACACCTATAACGCACCCATAGTTATGCATCAAGGCGAGTTAAACTTGTTTTCCTCATCGCTGACGCAATAGACATTATTGACTCGGAATATAGGGTAGTTTTCCAAAGAGGGCCGAGGCAAAATAAAATTGCGTCAACTGCATTGAAATACGCTGCCAACGACTCGCTGGAGTACATGTATCACTCTACGAGCTATAACAGCAGTACCAGTATACCTCACAGGAACCAATCGTCGGATAGTTCAAGTTGAAATCTCTGCATACTGGCCTGCCACTCAGTATGGCGATGCCGCTTGCACCTCTTGTGTCATTCACCCAATCGTATGACGTCCATCATTACTGTATATAGGTAACTATCAAAAAGCCTGAGTGCCCCTTCTTGAACACACGAAGTTAAATGATCCGTTTGTGGTCACGACACCCCACTATCATAGAAGTTTTGATTGCACGAAGAACAAATTACCACTCTGGAAAACAAAATTGAACACAAACACAATAGCTGTACTGACATTTTATTCGCATTATGTCTTGTTAAGTAAGAATAATTAAATAATAAAATTGAAAACTGAAATGTGAAAATGAATATAGCATGACACAGTTTGTCTAGTTGACATTGGAAACTTCACTAACATAATCATTATATTATTCTTTTCCATCATAACCAAAAAATGTCCACAAATACATAAGTATCGCCTATCCCCCAAGTTAAAAGTATACGTTATTTACTAAAATCAAATAGATAACCCAGACGTTGAAAGAAATACACACACGACTAGTTAAAACCTCCTGTCCTGCTAAAAGTTGTTTGCAAGAAAAATACCAACCCCAGTCTAGTAATGGTCATGTCAAACCTCTTGCACGAATTTATTCTGCTTAGCGCCACTTGTACCAATTGTTTTTGGGTGCTGGGACAGCGGCACCGCTGCATGTATCATGCTTACAAAAAGAATAATCGATCCTGACAGATAGACATGGTGGCAATCGTTAGCAAAATCCCCGAATTCGGAGAAAGAGATTACCAAAAATCCCTAATTGACTTTTCCGGGTAATAAATTTTAGCAAACCATTCCCCATGGTTGGAGAGCGGTGGTCGTCGCGCCACGCATGCGCGGGATATGGGACTCATATAAACACAATTGCGACTTTAGTTGTGCAGACTAACGAGTACAAACTGAGACGTTACCAATTAGCTTTAACTAAATAGTTTCTTTGGCGATTGGAGGGTATGGAAGGAGTCACCGACGTGATTATTGGATGTTGCAGCCAGGTCAAAACTCGTACGCGTGATTTTCATTAGAAGAGCGCATTGGATTGTGGGAAAATTATTGCGCACATGCGCGGCGCGACGAACTCCGCCCTTTAAATATAATGTACCAGCGACAAGGCTAATTTAACTTGTATATCCGCACAATATATAAAATACAATATGGAAGACAATATATATGTTTCAATAATGTTGTTCAGTACTGCATACCCGTTTTGTTTTATTTGTATCGTAATGTGAACGCCTATAATTATTGATGTGACCAAATTACAGTATGAAGAAAGTGGATTTTTGACACCAATACACCACACTTTAATCAGCGACCCCCCCCCCCCCGCACCCACTCTCATCAACAGAATCCCAAGCATACATGTTTATTTAGACGAATGTTTCATCGCGAAGTTCGATGTTTGCTTTGATTGCTGTGGTTTGAATGTCAGCTGATCAGGAGGTTTCTTGGACAGGTTTGGATTCGGGTAGTCTAGAAGCGACTGGCTGGGGTTCTTAACGGTGATATTTGATGGTGGTAAGTTTGCCATTGGGTGTTGGTTGTTCGCTGAGATTTGCATGGCAACAGGAGGTCGGATTGCTGGATTTCCGCTCTGCGATACGTTGCGGAGATTACTGAGTACTGCGGCTGCAAACTGACTGAACACTGGATTGTTGGCACTGCAACTAAAAACAAAATGGCGGATTAGAAGCAATTCCGGTATATGCAAATCATCGTTTTAAAAAACTATTATATATTTTGGATTCGAAAACAGAAAGTAGTAATATTTTGGGACCAAACAATAACACTCTTGCGACTAGACTTGCCAACAAGGCGTAATAATCGAATGATCGCCGTCAATGCATTTTGTGGACGCTGGATTATTTCGTATTTTAGCCATTCTTATTGCATTTTTGTTTTTTCGAAAAATAAAATAAAAATAATAGTCAATCAAGTTAATACTTCCATGTATTAACATTTGTAGACAACATTATACAATTAGGTTAATGAAGTGTCCAAATTTCATCATATATGACAATCATAACCAATTGTGTTAATGTAAATATCAGCTTGTAGTAAAATAATTTAGTTTTATAACATTATGTAGTAAAAACAATTTAAACATATAAACAATCACTTTCAGCAGACCAAAATGAAGATATGAATGTCGCTCAATGTAAAAACAAATAAAAATGACATCGCCATCAGCGTGGAGCTGCGTACTTTCTTGTTTTAGGGCGCACACATTACTTTGTGACAATACACATGCACAAAGTTATGATCGATTGTAGCGTTTCATTTAGTGTACTTACTTGTCGTTGTTTACTGTGTTGGGGTGAAAGGCCAAAATACACGGGTCTTCCATTTGCTGCTGTCGTTGGTGATGTTGGGATTGTAGCTTCTGTTGCAGACCTAAAAGCCGGTAATACTGATTCACTTGTTGCTGTAGTAAATTATTTTGTTGAGGGCCTTGAAAATACTGATGTTTTTGACCGTTTTGTGACCCTCCCACTTTCCAGCCCCCGACTGGACGAGCAAGTTGCCCGCCTGCTTGTTGTTGGTTGTTCTGTTGTGGTGCCATGGAGCCGACAGGCCTGAAGTTTCCCAAAGGTGCTTGGTTACATGCTGGACTGGATGTAAGAAATGGATTTGTGGTTCTAGTGTTGTTGAGGAAGGAATTCACCCGTTGTTGCACTGGTTTGGCAATGTTTCCTTGTTGAGCCGCAGCTGGTCTGTGATTTCCATTGCTGAACACGCTCATAGTAGACTTAAGTGGAAACTTCTTGGGAACAAAAGGTCTGGCAGTGGCCTGGAACCTCGTATCTTTAGCGTTATTCTTCACACTCAGATTTTTTGCTCCAGAATTCCCGTTTGAATCATTTTTCTTTTCAGGGGGATTCCCCGTCGTTTGAAAAACTGCCGCATTTACATTAAGTTTTGAAGGCATGGCGCACTGGTGAGCTGCCTTAGATTTGAATTCTTTAGCTTTCACGTATTTATCGGACTTATTGACTCCTTTTTTATCATTTTTCTTACTGCCGATCGTCTCAGTGAAGTCTTTTTGCAGTGACGTCATCAGTTCTTTACTTACATCGGTCACTGTGAAGAAAGGCACGTTTTGTTCTTCTACTTTGCGCACTTTGTCGGCCAAGTGCGCTAGTATTTCCTGTAGAATAACATTGGTAGCTTTCTCTTCCTGTCACGTGAATAGAAATGGATATATTATAACAGTATGTAAATGAGTTGTCATTGCAATTTGTCTTGGTTTTTGAGTTTCAAGAGATTCGTTCATGTACAAAATAAGGATTTTCGTTATTCAGATTTACAAGTATTTGTGTAACGCAATGCGCATGCATTTGAAATTAACAGTACGTACCTAAAATCCAAAATGCATGCGCTTTGTCGTTGTTACAATATATGTTTTTCACCAAACGAGTACCATTCTTGTGCGCAATCGAAACATTGTAGTTTACGGTAAATAATAGTCAAACTTATTTTTAAAATATGAGTTATACACATATACAATAATGATAAAAAGCACTAAAATAATGCTATGTACAATCGACAGTGTTTTAGTTTCACGTAAGGCGACGCGAGTTATTACGGCCATAGGCGAGGATGATGCTACTCTTGAGGTATACACGAGGTTTCAGTTCTTTATTTAAAAATGTAAGAACATAGTTTGTTTGAATACACCCATGATGGCGCTATTCAAGTTACTTGGCGCCAGCATCAAGAATATACTTTCTATAAAAGTCATGTTATTTTTTTTTAATTGTCGGGTGTCCAGAACTCTCACCTCAGACAGCTTTGTACGCCTTTGTATACATTCTTTGTTATCATCCCGTTGATCACTGGCACCACCATTGATCCACTGGGAAAGCTTACTAACATTCCTGAAAAGGCAAATTAATATTAAAGCGGGGGAGTCGTCACCTGCGCATGCGTCAGATGGCCATAGCGTGTCATTGCTTACAAACAAGTGTCTACCCATGAACCTTTGCGTTTTAAGTGTGTGTTGTTATCGTCGCTTGGGACTCAATTGCCGCGCGTGCGCAGGTGACGACCCTCTCGCTTTAACTTATTAATACGCGATATAAAGTATGTAGTTTCTTGACCCCAAGTAGCCATCACAAAGCGATTTAATCTGAAAATTGCATAGTTACTTATAAATACTATTCGTCAATGTTTGAGCAAGTATTTTAATGATTCATAATATCTAAATAATTATCGCACTGTGGCTTGGGTCGCTAACTAACGTCAGACTTTTCTTCGCCGTTGAATTCATCTGCTGTTCCCGGTGTCCTCTGCACAAGCGATCGATAATATTATTATTATTATAAACGCGTGTAAAATACATTGTTTGTTTAGAACACGCGCTGTGCGACGACCTCCGACCTTCAATTATCATGAGAAAGCTGTGAAGTGCTTATAGGTGAAACACGACATACGAGTGCCTAATTTTGAAATGTGCTACATGTATCCGATGTCAGTGTGCGAGTACTGATACCACAGCGTCTGAAAGTCAAATATCATATTTTGCAAATTCTGTTTTATTTGCTGTTTAAAGTAAATTATATATTCATGCCTTTGTTGTTTCTACTTTCGTTAAAATTTAATAGATCTTTTTGTGAAATTAAATGCGAAGAAGTTCTTCTGCCACTCATAAATGGAGGGTATTTTAAAGCGCTGATTAATAATAAATGTAATTGTTTTATTTATCACATCATTATAATCTACTGTAGGAGAGTATACTGCTCCAAACGTCTGGCTATTTTAAACAGTTATCTAAGATAACAATTACTAAATCAACTCTAAATCATCTCAAACCAACCCTCCTTTCTTCGCTCACAAACACTTTTACACATACAAGTATCAAACTTGATTGCTTCAGTTTCACTCAACAAATCTCAAATCCACCCTATCGCGGTCTCCTGACGCCCGTCGCTCTTGCCCAATTTGTTGTTTGAAGTAGAAATATATATATATATATTTACATTTTTGTGTCAGGCAAAAGCTCCGAACATTGTAATGGGACATGTGTTTTGGGAGCCTTAATTGAACAAGTCCCGTTCCCCAGGACAAACATACAAATTTTCAGGTGAGTACCCCCCCCCCTGTTTACCAGCTCTGTGACTAAACAGCCTTACCTTGTCGAAATAAACATTGGAGTTCGCTCTAACAAGTCTTCTGTCGTGAGCGGGTTCCGAATATCGATAGAAGCCAGCCAGTCACGACCGTTTTCATACATAAATCTGTTGCGCAAAAAAATCCAGTCGTCCAAGAGAAAACTACTGATGCAGTCCAGCATATCGGGATGTGGTAGTTTACTGAAAAGTCTGTTGACTTTGACAGAGTAAAGCCATTCTTGAATGCTTTTCCTTTCTTTCATCAGTGACAGTCGGAATATTTCTTCGGCCTCGATGACTTGCAATAAATCAGGGCGAGGCATTCTTGGTATTGGTTCAAAAGAACCGTATCCAAACATTATTTAGCGTGAGAGTGAAAACTAGCTATATATCAACACATCGATGTTTATGTATGATATTGCATATGTCTACGAACCGTTTTAGTGCGAATATTAGAACGCGAGCGCCGTGGGCGCACACCAAAAGTTCGAAAGAATGTCCGCTTACTGGCAGTGCCTGTTTACGTACGCGCGTTACTAAACATAGAATGTATTTCGTAGATACGCTCTACGTGCGCTTTACCGAAAAAGTTCCATGTTTTATTATATACACTCTTATTACGCTGTGATCTCAAACACACGACGTAATTTGAAATGACGCTGTTTGTTTCGATTGATGAAAGTCGGGCGCCGCGCTGGGCCGGACGTGATACGGGAAATTATTGTCCTGATGTGAGGGCGTACTTCCCATAACATAACGAGGCATTGATATACGCGATAGTTTGTTATAAGACATTTGCATGCTGCC